CGCCCAGGTCCTGACAGAGGTGGGAACATGACTCACCAATGCTCTGTCGGACTGCGCAGGGCGGCTGGCACCGATTGCCTTGTCTCACCAATTGATCCAGGGCTCGTGCTTCTTAAGCCAGGGCATACCCAGGATCATATCATATGAATCCATATCGAGGGCAGCGAGCTGTTCGAGGCTGTCAAAGTCTTTAAACTTGACGGCCAGATACACTTGGACGTTGGGGACAGTGACGACCTTCCCGTCGGCCAATCGCACTGACACCGTCCTGTTGTCCTTGCTTTCTCTCAAAGTATCGGACAACTTGTTGTTATTACGAGCAACCGTCTGGCGACGTGCGAAATTCTTCGACGCCCCAGAATCGACCAAGATTCTAAAGGGATGATCGTATACCCGTACACATCCGTGTACTACGAGCAACCCGCCGCTGCTCTTCGCCGATCCGAGAGTGCGAAGACTCTCAGTGCAGCGGGGCTGCCGTAGCTTTAGCGTCAGAGGAAGACGTTCGACTCAAAGAGTCACTAATACTAAGTTCCTTATCCAAAGGACACTTACAGCCCAAGACCAGGGCTCAAAGTTAACAGCTTAACTTTTATGCTTCAAAACCAGAAGTGTTTTATTTACTATTATTGCGGCCAAGCCGCCTAGGGGTAAATGTATCTCTTTAACTATCTAGCATAGTTAAACCTAATCAAATGCATAACGTGTGGCTTTCAGCCAACGTACTGAGAGACCTTGTTAGCTCTCCAACTTATGTACTGAGAGTTTGTTAACTCTCCGGGTACTTCGTACCCCTGTGTGCTCCACACCATGTAACCCTGTTACACTCTCCCCCACTAAGATGAGAACATTCCGTTCTCGAAACTCTCCTCAGCGAGGTCACGTCTTGTTAAGACGGCGGAGGTTACTACACCTCACACCAGCGTTGTACAGCTCCGTGAGCTCACAAACGCCTACGCATCGTTGATGCCCAACTTCTTGTCGTCGGCCCACGGCCCAATGCTCCAAGCGCAGCGCGCATCTTGCTCTCAAGCGGTCTCAGACCTACGCTCGCGCTCCGCGCCTACTCCAAGAGCTGCAAACCGCTTAGAGCAATGCTCTTGACTCATTCGAGTCGTCGACACAGCTCAGCGGATGGACACTCGCTTCACAGCCGATAGGTCCGTGGTTCAAACCCACTAGGGCACAGCCCTCTCGTTCCATGAACGATTGTTCACGCTTGGACAAGCTTAAGGGCAACACCCTTTTAGCTCAATGGTTGAGCGTTGGCTTTGAAAGCCATAGGCCAGTGGTTCGATCTACGTGCGGGACACCACTTTCGCTGTTACAGCGCATCCACATTTGGATCATGCTCATCGAGCAAGTTGTTTCAAAACAACTATGCGTCTATCGAGACGCTTGTGCCTGAACCTTGTTCAGCACAACACGAAGCACCTGCTTCCTTCGGGACCATGTCCCTAACACTACGAGGTCTCTCCACCTCCTGCTCCCGCTGCGAGCACCGCTCATACGTACGAGCTGGCTGCTGCAGCTACTGGTCAGAGCCTGAGCTCAACTACTGACCTCATCGCTCCCCACTCTAGTGGGAGGCGCCCAGCGCCTGGCGACGCTGTCGCACGCCATGGTGGCGCTTAGGCACATGATGTGCCCGGTCGTAAGCGTCAACGACGTCAGGGCAATCTTGCCGGAGGATAACCTCAAACTCCCATGAGTTCTGTGAGTGAGGGTAACCCCTCCACTTCACTAAGTACTGGGTACGACCCTGGCGTCTACGCCACGCCACAAGGCGTTCCACGTGAAAGTGGAGCTCACCATGCTCATCGAGCAGAGCAGGAGGAGGCCTTGCCTCAGCTGGGCTCTCGCGGGGAGAGTCAGCACTTGCCGGAACGGCGTCTGCGTCCATACGACGCCGGCGTCCACGACGCGAACGTTCACCGCCCATCGGTCGATCTCGAAGAGATGATCCACCTTGTGGATAGGTTGAAGCCACCACTGTTGACTCACAACCAGGTCTCGGACCTTGAGCGTCCAGCTGCTCGGCTGAACGTTCAGCTTGCCTTGCTCCTGCATCTCGAGCACTTCGCTCCGCGACCTGTGGCTCTGCCACATGCTGTTGATCAGCCATCAGTGGATCCACCACTTGCTGTCGTTCAGCTTCCCGTGGCTCTACCACCTGCTGCCCTGCAGCTGTCCGTGGCCCAGCCACCGCTGGTGCCAACGCCTCCGCGCTCACCTGAGCAGGGTCTTGGTATGGCTTAAGCAAGCCGACATAGAAGACCGGATGCGTGCGCATCTTCTTCGGAAGGTTGAGCGTATACGCTAGGCCCTTCTTGGCCACGACCTTGAACGGTCCTATGAACCGAGGTCTTAACTTCGTCTTGAAGACTGCAGACACTGCATGAGTAGGTAGGTTTTTAGCGTTTAATAAAACTTGGTCACCGACCTCAAACCTCTCAACATTGCTTCTGCCCTTGGCATCTGCATGTTCCTTCTGCGTGTCTTGGCTATCAGCCATAGCGTCTCGTACTTGACGCATTACGCTCAGTCTCAAAGAGACAAAGTCATCGACTTGCTTGCGAACCGCAACAGGGCTGACATCAGCTAGCCGCTCGGCTATCCCTCCCCCATCAAGCCCTGAGCCACTGCGTGGCGGCGTCAGTGGGACGTGAGGGTTAACCAAGTCGTTCACATAGAACGGAGTGTAGTCTGTCGAGGCGTGCACTGCATTATTTAATGCGAACTCAACGAGTGGGAGCGTCTGGCTCCAGCGTTTTGGCGCCTCAGCGCATACGCTTCGGAGGGGTATCCTTAACAACGCGATTCACGCGTTCGGTCTGACCATCGGTCTGCGGATGGTCCGCTGTGGACATGTCCAAACGAGTGCGGAGCACTCTGAAGAGGGACGTCCAGAACTTCGCGGTGAAGCGCGGATCTCGATCCGAGACAATTGCCTCAGGCAAGCCATGTTGGCGAAAGACTCGGTCTAAAAACAGCAAAGCTGTACCTTCACCATCAATGGTGTCCGGCACTGCCGACTAAATGAGCCATCTGCTCAATCGGTCTACAAAGAGCACTATACCTGTGTTTTCCCCCTCATCCTTGGGAAGGCCAAACACAAAGTCCATACTCATGGACAGCCAGCATCCCTTGGGGACAGGCAAACTCGCCAATGGCGCTGCCGTGCTCGGCGCGGACTTTGTCCGTTGACACGTCTCACACGTGCGTACATAGGTGCCGACCCACTTATACATCTTGGGCACCAGTACATCGAGCTCACCGAGCCATAGGTCTCTCCCGACCCTAAGTGCCCGCCCACGGGCGTATCATGAACCTCATAGAGGATTCGATACTTTAGATCCTCATCATGAGGAACGACTACACGAGGGTTATCCTCAGCGTCGGTGCTGTAGTACAGCAGGCCGCCATCGAGTGAGTATCGATGCAGCCTCGCGCGTAAGCGCCCAGACAATTCCTTGTCAGAGTCTTTAAACTCTTCGCTCCAAGAGCCCGTAGCAGCGCTACGCACATGTCGTCTTGTGCATACGCTCCGCGTATCAAGTCAGGCACTGACGACGTCACTGTCGTGACATGAGCTAACTCGTAGTCCGGCCTGCGCGAGAGCGCATCGGCCACTACATTAAGCCGCCCCGGCTTGTACTTCACCTCGAAGTTATACTCGGCAAAGAAGGAAAGCCATCTTGCCATTCTCTGAGAGAGATGAGGCGACTATGTCGCAGTGCGTAACGACGCATGATCAGTAAAGATCACAAAAGGCTTAGAGCCTAGCAGGTGTACCCTGAATTTGACTAGAGCATACTTCATTGCAAGTAGCTCTTTGTCATGAACTGGATAGTTCTTCTCTGCAGCTTTGAGCTGGCGAGACTCAAACGCGATCACGCGTTCACGCCCTTCGGCGTCTGCTTGTAGTAAAGCACAACCGATTGCAAAATCGGAGGCGTCACAGACGACGCTAAACGGACTATCCGGGTCCGGTAGCGCAAGGATCGGAGCCTGGAGAAGGCTCTCCTTCACAGCCTCAAAGGCTCCGTCGTGCTCGACGTTCCAGCACCATGGTGCGTCCTTCTTAAGGAGATCTGATAATGGCCGAGCCATCTCCGCGTAGTTCGCACTGTACTTGTGCAAGTAATTGGCTAAGCCTAGCCACTTGCGTAAGTCTTTTTGGTTCTTGGGAGCCGGCCAGTCCACGATGGCCTTGACTTTGGCAGGATCTGCCCGTAAGCCACGCTTCCCAATGAAGCACCCGAGGAAAGGTATCTCCTCCGCGCCAAAGACGCACTTGTCCAAGTTGGCATACAACTTATTAGTGCGCATGCACTCGAGCACCGCTTGCAAGTGGTCAATGTGGTTATCCACG